CCTGCTGGCCACGCTTCTCTTGATGCAGCCCAGGATAGGGTTGGCTTTCTGGGCTGCAAGCGCACATTGCTGGCTCATGTTGAGCTTCTCATCCACCAGTACCCTCAAGTCCTTCTCCGCAGGGCTGCTCTCAAGCCACTCTCTGCCCAGCCTGTACTTGCGTTTGGGATTGCCCTGACCCATGTACAGGACCTTGCACTTGGCCTTGTTGAATTTCATGCGGTTCACGCAGGCCCACCTCTCCAGCCTGTCAACATGCTGATGTACACCAAGTATACTGAAAGGCAACTGCTGTAACAGCTTATGATGCTGCGTTACCAAAAAAATCGATTTTTCCTCACAGATGCACTTCAGGTTCGGGAAGTTTGCACTGAAGCAGCGCACACACCATGTGTATTTACTGTGTGAACTGGTTTTCAGTGCCGTTACAGAGTATCTACTGTCAGTCTGCATTTGGTGCTCGGAGCAGAGTCCTCCTTGACTTCCATAGCAGCTTCCAGTAGTGAGATACCCAAACCTCCATCAAACCTTCCACAGATGCCTGCAGGACAGTCTGATGGCCTGGCTGACATCACAGATGGACGCAGAGGCACAAACAGAAACAATTCTAGTTTTCCAGGCTCAACCCCAAAGGTGGTCTTTGCCATGCCAATGCGTCTCCATCCCTTTTTGCCTACCAAGGCCTCTCGAGGTCTTCCAACTCTCGCAAAAACAGGGAAAGGTCATGACACCAACAGGAGACCTTAAACTTCAGTGCCACGTGGCAGCGGAAGGGGACTGGAATCCTACGTGTGCGTTTCACAGACATTTGCACAGTGAAGAGGAGATAAGCGAGAGAGCTTGTGCTGTGTGCCAGATTAAAAGCACAAACTTTCTTGTGGGTGGAAACTTCTGCTTGGTCCTACTGGGCTCAGGCCCCTCTTCTGCCTCTGCCCTGGATCCTGAGAAGTCTTGGTGCGCTTGCAGTTTGTCTGTCCAGTCCTCCCCTATTTTCCTAAGACTCTCACCCCGCAGTGTCTTAGAACCATAGAATCATGGAATCGTTAAGGTTGGAAAAGACCTCTAAGATCATCAAGTCCAACTGCCAACCCAACACCACCATGCCTGCTAAACCATGCCCTGAAGTCTACATGTTTTTTGAACACCTCCGGGGATGGTGACTCAGCCACCTCCCTGGGCAGCCTATTTGAATTCTTGACCACTCCTTCAGTAAAGAAATTTTTCCTGATATCCAATATTGTCTTGTTAAACCTCTGTTCACAGCCATTTCCAGTCGCTTGGTCTACCCAGAGTCTGCTTCCAGGACCCTTCTCGGGTTCCTCATCTTTCTCAGTTATTCATAGCTTTCTGTATCCCTTTTCGCCTCTGTCTTTCTGCCATCCCTTTCAGTCTTCATCCTCAGAATCTCATTTTTGCCACTGCCTTCCTGCTACCTGTATTTTTTCCTGGCAGCATTTCTCACAAAATTCCCTAAATCCCAAATTCAATCTTTATTCCCCATTTCCCCAATTTGTGGTGTTTTTAAAAGACGTGCCACAAACAACTACAATACAAGAGATTACCAGAATGCATCTTTTTCCTCCAGAGTGCTGATGTCTAGTTAATGAACTAAGCAACTGAAAACAAGGGATTTCCACAGGGCAGTTTCAGCACAAGTTGCTGCTGATTACCACACGGATTTTAAAGTTATATCTAACCAAATATGGTTTAACTGAAGGAGGCTAAAGTGGCTTAAATGCTTTGAAAGAAATTTTTGGTCAACTGTCATATGAACTTCCATTTAAAACGTAAAGGTATCCCACCTCTATCCCATATCCTTCACTTATCTTTGAAGAATAAAGGCAAACCTTCATATAAATGTTATGTTCAGTATGATATTACGCTTTAGGATAGGCAGTATTATCAGAGTTAATGAGGAAATCCCAGAAATAGCAAATGCATCTCTCCTTCATCAGAAAATATTTTAGTATGTCCTACTTGGAAGAATACTAGCTGAAATTTCTTCAAAATCAAGTAGTCATTGACTGCCCTTACAGTAAGAAAATCCAGACAGCAGTAAGACATCTTTGGAGCATCTTCCAATTAATAAATGCATTGGCTAAGCACAGAAAACTAAGTAGCATATCATTAAACTGAAGTAGGGTATCAATTGGAACTGGTGGAAACAGTGGTTACTATATCTAAGCAATGTCTCCTGACCTCATTTTGACACCAATGGGAAAGTCACCATGAAAATGGAAGTTGAAATATTACCTCCTCCTGGGTGAAGGACAAGAGGTAGGTTCATATAGTCCAGAAGGAGCCTAGCAGAAGAATACTGATATATAAACAAAAGGGGCAGAGCTCAGATATCCAGAGGCCTAAGCTGATCTCCAAGCTCCTTAGGCTACGCAGAGAGGTAAATGAATCTGCTGGCATCTCTTTAATGAATGCACAAGGTCAGCTTTTCCAGGAGGATTTGATGCTCTACCTTAAGCCCAGTAACAGAGAACCCTATGTGCAAGGATGAGTCTCAGTTGCCCTGTGTAGCAGTAATTCCTTTATTTGCCTGGGGTTCAACATACTGAGAGCACTTCTCAGATCGAACGTCCTACTGAGGGGTGGGGTGACTAAGCAAGGGAAGGCAGGACAGAAGGCAAGACAGCCAGTTCAGCAGCCTGCACACAGTTTCCAGGCTCAGCTCAGTTTGAGGTGGTTTGAACCTGTTACTGCCATTCCCCAGGGCAGCACCCTACATTAAAATGATTCTGTATGATTCTCAACATCCCTGCCCTGGTAGCTGGATCACAATGTACAATGGAGAAGAAGATTAATGAACCAGGAAAGAATTAACAGGGAGACATTGACGAGGACTTTCTGTAAGGGAAAATACAATCTGTAGTTCAGGTTTATGCAACATCTTTTCAGAATAGGATTCATTAAGCAGATACAGAAGCCTAGAGCTCCCCCGTGAATATGGTCAGCAATGACCCAGTCACTCAGGAAGATCAGAAAAGAAATAAAATAGAAGGTAACGATCCATTTACACAGTGCAATTCTTTAAAACTTTGTTCACTAATCAACAAGTTAATCAAATATGTATGGACTACCTCAAAGGCACTGTTCACAGGTACTAATCTCCATTAAAAGGAGATGCCATACTGCCTTCTCCTTCATTGAAAAAAAAGACTAATTCTTTGAAGTTTAAAAGCCCAAAAGAGTAGCATTATTGCAGATACTAAGTTAATGACAAGCTTTTCAAAAGAATGCTACTGCTCTAATACTTTTTTTCCATATGTAAAAGAAGTCTATTGCTTATTTCCTAGGCATATAAGCTTTGCACTGTCAAGTCTTGTTAGTGCTGAAAGCAGCCCATCAGCTTTTTAAGCTTTGAAGAATGTCCAATGCTTGTACCAGAAGCTGGAAACCAGCACTCACCATCACCTACATGAAGCATAAAGGTGAACATCTGGGTGTTTCACATGAAATGTAGAGGTGGAACACCCACTGCTTTGGCAAGGCTGCTGGCTCAGAGCTTGCTTTTTTGGGAGGGGAGTGAGGGTTTCCAATAACTACTCCAAACCTGGGAGAAAAAAGAGATTTTCATCAGGGTCAGACAGATGATTGCTGTCTTCACCAGGGGCTTTGGGAACAGGGCACTCACAAGCACTGCCACTACCACCACTACTACTAACTGCTACCACCACGAGATATTTTGCTCGAGAAAGATTGAGATTGTTTTAACTGACTGGCTCCAGGTTGGCTGCTGAGGCTCAAGCAGAGAGAGGCACCCCTCAGGATTTGGAGTCCTTTTAGTATCTCTTTTAATTTGATGCTAAGCAGGGCCACCACTTCATTATGGACCACACCAAGATGCCTCTTCTGCCTCTTTATCACTGCCGTCGTATCCATGGAGCAGTTCACCAGAGAACTGATCTCATACTCCTGGCAAAATCAGTTACCGCAAATTAGAAACTGACACACTAATGACATTATCAGCTTTGGGAGTGGGGGAAAATGGCCAGACTTTGCCTGATTGCTCCCTCTAAGGGACCTCCTCTGCCCTCAACGAAGGCAGGCATCTGCTTGTTTTAAAACCACAAGACCTGCCCCTGACAAAGAGGTGACTAACAGAGAAGATGTGCCTGACCTATCTGTGGACACCTGAAAGCAGTGGGGATTAACTTCTCCCCAGGTCCACTCTGCATGGAGACGTGCCTTTCAAAGTTATGCAGGGACAATGGGTGCAGCAGCTTGTTTCGTAAAATCATGGTGTAGTTTGTGTTGGAAGGGACCTTAAAGATCATCCAGTTCTAAGTCCCCTGCCATGGGCAGGGACATCTTCCACCAGACCAGGTTCCTCAAAGCCCCGTCCACACTGGCCTTGAACACTGCCAGGGAGCGGGC